ATCTGATGTTTCATTCTATAATTTCAAAATTTATTGAAATTTGATGAACATTAGATGTTTTTCATCCTATATTTTCAAACATTATTGAAATTTGATGAACATTAGATGTTTGAAATCCAATGTTTGTAACATGACTCTGATGTTATTAACATTGTATCTGATGTTATTAATATTGTAATGGGACCTTTCAGTCTATAAGAAAACTTTTAGGACTAAACAGTGCATAAGTTATTAATTTGGGATTTATTGGTGCATCCCCCTTTATATATATCTATATATTTATATATATGTCTTATTTCAGAATATATGATAGTTGTTGGTACATTGGATAATTTTATATTTTGTGGTTTGATTTTCATGCATTTTGTAACAAATGATGGTTGGTAGCTTCGAATGACATGTTATGTATTAATGGAATGCAATTTTATGTTATTTCAATGTTTTTTTAATTATTTTTTAATAATTTTGACATATAATAAATAAAATTAATTATATATATTGAACGTGTCCCCAGCGTGTCGTGTCCCCCATTTTTTAAAAATTTGCGTGTTGGCGTGTCCGTGTCGTGTCGTGTCGTGTCGCGTGTTCGTGCTTCATAGAGCAGCATTAACAATAATAAGAAAGGGAGGGGGAATACAATTTTGAAGTAAGAAGAGATGGGGAGTCGTATGATGAGAGGCATCAGAGTCAAAAATTTAGACAGACGAAGGGATACCTGAAGAATATCCAAGTAAACTTGAATGAAGAGAAGAAACAATAGAGGTAGACGGGGTTGGTTGGGAGGTAGACAGTTTATGATGAATTTGACTAATCTGAGCACTCAAGGAAGCCAAGTCAGGATCAGGAGTCGGAGCCGGAGCCGGAGCAGGTGCAGTAGAATCGGCGAGAGGCCGACCAATACTCAGAAGAGGGGTGTAGAATTGGATCGGAAATTGTTGAGAAGACGAGGCAGACAGACATTCCTTTTTGGGACAATGGTATTTCCAATGGCCCCTCTGATAGCAGAAGGTACATTCATCAAAAGCCAGAGACATTGTAATAACCAGAAAGCTCAGGGGTTCAAGTATAATAATCCAAAATCAGAACCAGAGGGATCAAACTATAATAAGCAAAAAAGTTATCCAACAAACCCACAAATTAACAAGGTCTTGAATGAAATATATAATAACCAGGTGTGGTCCAAATATAACACCTAGATTTTTTGACCCTAACACCCACAAATATCAGAATTTGAATGAATCAGTAATATAAACCAGAGTTCGAGGAAGATCCAAGAGAGAGAGTCTGAAGCTGAAGCCCAAGTCGAAGAGGGTTCAGACAGAGATCGCGAGAGAGAGACACTTAACAACCACAGAACAAAGATGAAGGCTTCGCGAGATATAGAGAGAGGCTTCGCGACCACGAATGTGAGTCTGGGGAGAGAGAAGTCGCGATTTTGATGGTGACAAACCAAACAAACTAGAGAGGGCTGATACGAATTAGAGAAGTCGCGAGTCAAGGTTGATGATGGTCACGAACCAGATGAACCAGAGATGGGTCAAGACAGATGACCCCTCGACCAGCGAAGACGAACCACGACGGCGACAATCAAAGCACCTAGGGTTTCGAATTGAACTCTGATACTGTGTAAGTTTCTGAATATTTTTGTATATTCCAATTGTCAATAATACAAAGAGTACAACCGCATTATATAGACCTAATCTAAAAAAGGAAATAAGAATAAACTTATAATCTTACGATCAATCTAATATTCACACAGTCAATCTAATATATTTACATAATTAGCATAATATTCTCACAACTTGATCCTTTTTATTTTTTGCCACAACCCATGTCTTGCGGCCCACAATTCCTTTCCTAGCTTCTTGGGCCTTTTCTAGGCCCAACTATCCCCTTTGGGGCCCCATTGGGTAACCTACACCAGTCCCCAATGGTTGAGGTTTACCCAGTATGCCCATGGACCTCTTTTCCATCCTAAATCTTTGCAGATACTCCTTCACCCCACAAACTCCATCTGATTGCGCAAAATTCTTCCTTTCCTTATACAAACCAGATCCCCTAACCCTTTTGGCCGTCAGCAACCTCAGCTTACGATCGGGTCTTCCTCCATCCATACAAGCAGCAAGAACCGCCATATCCCCCATCGAATGAAGACTCGCGACAGTGTGTGCTCTGAGCATCTCACTCCAGCTGAACACAACCCAGATCCACCGATGATTCATCTGTCTCCACGAAAACACCACACCGATTGCCAATAGCATGGTGCACCTCTACCCTACAAAGATGAATAGGTAGGCCCACTACCTGAATCCATACACTTTTCTCAGGCATCGACATCTTTCCTGAAGTACACGGAGCCAATGGTGACTACCATTCCAGCAATGGGTCATGCCCATCCACTGTCCATCGTTGTCGCATCACCGCCTTTGCCTCACTTCTATTTGGCAAGACGAAAAGGAAGGCCTTATCCCCTTACGGTCACACCTCCACCTTCCCTGACTGTTGCCACCAACGACCAACCCATTCCGAGATAGCCGCTAAGCTTAGACCCTTGTCACCCATCCCCCCAACTTGCCCACCAACGATCTATCCAACATCTGGAACCAATCAACTTCTACCCTAGTGCGAACGACCTCTTCAGACTCTCGAGGGTTGGCCAATAACGTTGGGCTAGAAGTGGACGGCATCTTCTTCGAACCACCAAGTCTCATTACCTTCTCATTAGTCATTCCAAAGTCTTCTATGACCAGCGCCACCCCCTCCCACCCATCGCCAAAGGCAGACATAGGTATAAAAATCTGTTCTCTCCGCTTTCTTGTCGTCACCACTATTTGAAACGATGACCCACCACTTTCCTCGCCACGAACCCATACTGCAACAAAGTGATTACCCCCACTGAGACGACCTAGGAATTTTAGATTCTCTGGTTCCATAGATGCTATCTTCATTCTCGCCACAATCGATCTTGCTTCCGACCCATTCAACACTGCCGCCCATCGAATCCCCTCCCCCCTCTCAACAATGGACTAATTGCACCGCCCATCCACTCCCACCAACGTCTCCTCAAACTCGAACGATCGGCCACCAAGAAAGAGAATCCGATGGCGTGGACCGACTTCTTTCTTTATTGGGAACATTTACCTTTCCTAGAATCTCAGAGCATTATTCCTAAAAGCTGCATAGTTTTTTTCTAGGTAGTAGACTCAACAAAATTTGCTTCAAGAATACCTACAAAATACTATTACATCACTCATCAACTATCCACTAAAACTGAAAAACTTGATGTAACAAGATAAGTGGAGCAAGATTATCACCAACAATCCTCTTCCACGACTGCTGGTTGTTTCCTTGACTACAAGCCAAAATGGTGTTAGACAATCTTCTCTTGCCCCTTGGTAGAGTTGATTCTGTTGAGTTGGAGTTTTGTAGTTTTGAGTTAGAACATTTTTTTTCCCCTTTTGAAATCCCATTCTGCCCATGCTGGTAACATTAGTATTTTAAGGCGGTGAATAGTTTGCAATGTTGGAGATTGGCATCCAATACTGAGCACATCATGGATCTCTTCCAAGTGTCAAGCTGAAAGTTGGGATGGGAGAAGGGCATGGAAAGATGTAGTGTAGGCTGAAATGACATAAAGTTGTCCAGTGGCAAAGCTAGAATTCTTCTTGAACAACTAGTTAGTATGACTTTTCACTCTGCGAAATTTACAAATAAAGAAATTATTTGCGATACATTCCTATATGATTTTTCTCTTATAAAATTGAATGTATTAAAAAGAAAAGTTATTCCAGAATAAAAATGAATAAGTTATAACATGTGAACCATGAAAGCAAGAACAAATGTAAGCATTGGAACTTTTACTTAACTTATATTTTAATTATTGTTTGACATTAACCCCCTTAGTTTAATCTTTTAATCCTTTTCAAACGATTTTAGTGGGTTCAAAATGTATAAATGTCCAAAGTTTAAAGAAAATATCAAGTAGGTCCATACTTTCTTCAAAATCTTGTTGGGTTCAATCCACTAGGAGCTATGTCGCTCTGCCCTTCAAGGTACCAAATCAATAAAGATGAGATTAAAAAGCCTTGGCTCTTCGAATAAATGCTCATTTTTTGACCTCTCTCTCTCTCTCTCTCTCTCTCTCTCTCTCTTAATCCTCCTTTTGACAAAAAAGAAGGGATTTTATTCATGTAAAGAAAGGTTTGCAAAAAGTGGTTATATAGATGGCAGCAAAAGGGAATAGACAACAGAACTCTAGACTTGGGAAACCTAATAAGGCTCCAAAATTTAGTTGCTTGCTTTTCTCAAAAACAGTCCAAGGGGTTACCATATGCAATTACAGACATTAAAGATGCTAAACCAAATGGATTTTGTGAAGCCAAAGTGCCCCCAGAACTGTATGCAAATTAACTCTGCTATGTGATAAAGCTTACAGTATATTGCCTTAGCATAGACTTCATGGTTCCATTTTCTTGCAATCAGTTCTTAATCATGGATTGTGGAACAGAGTGACTGTCCTGATAGGACGATAAATTTTACATGGAACCAGAGATTTTGAAATGAAAAGGATGCCACTTTTGTACTAGGAAAAATTTTCAATTTGCGAATTTGAAAATATCAATTTACTGCTTTATTTTCTGTGCACTTTTTCAATCTGTTTATAATTTTTCGAAGTTCAATCGCATGTGTGAATTTTGTTTTTGTTTTTGTTTTTGTTTTGTTTCGAATTTTGATTCTATTTTGTGCATTCTTGTAACATGATCTGCAGCTGTATACCTTCCTTTCTGCTAAAGATTGTTTTTTGTTTTTGGATAAATAAAAAGAATTCTTTTCTGCTTAAGATTGTGACATTTGTGAAAAGCTATTATACTGGCAGAATGTTTCTCTGTACAAGAAAATCTGTTGAAGTTGGTGACGATTTCTTGTTCTATATTCAATTGTCAATATCAGTTTAAAATATAAAAAGAACACTCTGGTTTTGATTTTCTATTTACTTTCAGGCAGAAATTCAGCTTAATTTTCAGAAAAGAAGAGGCCATGGAGTATTATCTGTACTTCGGCCCAAATTCAGCGGTGTGTTGGGTGAAGCTCTAGACGTGGCTGCCAGGTGGAGTGGTGATGTTGTGAGTATTTAAACCAAAGTTTCTGTTCTGAAAATTTGACCTTTTTGTGGATGTCCTGGTTCGGATTTCTTCTGAGACACACACTTGGGAGTCCAAGACTTTCTAATTCACCCACTAAAAAAAAAGAAGACTCATTTGTCCAAGACTCAAACTACTTAATTCACCAGCACAAAAAAAGGAGTCCTTTTTCTTTCTGCTCATTTCTTACTTGAAGCTGCAAATGTTAAATTGGATGTCAAACAATCATTGTAAAGAAAGTCCAAGATTCATTTGTTCATGATTCAAATGGACCATCTTGATTCTTGACTTTCATGTCCACCCCCAAACCCTGCAATCTTTCTCCATGGAGGTGAAAAGGCGCACGGTGGTGTTGGGGTTTTTAGATATGATTTTCAATGTTCTCTTTTTTCAAGAGAAAACAGAAATCTGTTTGCCGTTTTCAATTGATGGCTGATATCTTGAATATTTTTTACTTGGAATTTAAGCAGATATTTTTTTGATTTCAATATTTTTCTTTGAAAAAACTCATGAGAAAATAGAACGGGCACTAAAAAATTTTAGTTGGGCTATAGGAAATAGCCTCCAATATCGATCACTTCCAATATGTATTGGTGTCAAATTTCGAGTTTGGTTTGTTTCAGGTTGAGAATTTTTTAGAATCAAACAAAATGCCAGCAAAATCGTTTTAATTTTCTTCTCTTTGGCTTAGTTGAGATGTTTTAAATTCTTTCAGCCCAAAAATTAACCTTGGTCCCTTTTTGGTTCAAATTTTTTTTTTTTTTTTTTTTTTTTGGGGGCTGTTTAAGGTTTTTTTGCTGGAAAAAAAAAAAAAAAAAAAAATTTTGTTTTT